TCGCCCCCCCCCCCCAAATCGGAATGCAAGTACAGTACCAATGTACTCTGCCAAGTTTCCTGCACAGCTAAAGGCACTAGTTTCATCTAATATTAAAATCAGAAGAGGAAATTTAACCTTTCCCTGTCTTTTTTGTTATACAGTAAGTCTGTCTTCTGCCAAAAGGTTTCTAGTCTTCCAAAAATTGACTACAACCGCTCCGACCCATTCTTATCGAAATATCATTATCAGTAGTGACAGTGTTGATGGACCCACCGATGTTAAAAAAAAACATGTGATGGGGGTGGGGGGTACATCATTAAATGCTTGCACAAGGAGGTTCAGAACTTGTACATGTGATATTCCAAAAAAAAAGTCAAATGAGTAGAGTTACAGACATAATCCTGATCATGTTTATGAAATGTAAATGTCTATAGGCAATATTTTACACATTTCCTATCAGATACCCATAGCAATGTCCTCTCAGACCACCTTGTGTATGTGTATATATTATTCACAGAGACATTCCATTTCCAAGATATTCTTATACTTTCTGTAATCCAGTCATTCTTTAGTTTGAATATATCTTTAAATTTAACTGGAAAACTAGTTGACGGGTATTTAGATATATTTATGGAATCGAGTTAAATGGCATCGTTGTCTTTATAAGCAGATTTCCCCAAGTTTAGTTTTTTAACAAAAAGTGAAAATGCATAATATCATTATTTACATTAAACAGAAAATAGTTAGCACTTAATCACCTATTATTAAAATGTATCCTTGGTCAGTATTCCTGTCAGTTTCTACAAAATGTCTCCACACACAAATTTCAGTGCAACTGATTCACCAGAAAAAAAAAACTATTTTAAATTCCTTCGGTTTGAAGGACCCTTTGTAGGTGCATTTTGTGACGAGTTGTGTGAAGAAGAGGAAACAATTCTCTTTGAGCAAGAAACTGTTTATCATACACAACAAAACTGCTTGTAAGAGAATGATGAAACACACTAAGGGTGTAAAATTATGGAAAATAGAATAATACTTATTTTAAGCTGGAAAAATGAAAGAACAAAACAAATAAGATTAAGTGGAAGGGTAGGTTTCCAGTTATAAGAATGCCAGTATAACTGTGTAGCACCATTAGAGATAGTTATTAGGCTTAGTCCGTAACACTCGGCGTTTGATTGACGCAGTCATCTGCACAGAGAACTCAACTCAGTGAATGACCTTGGAAATAAGAATTTGAAGTATTAACTATAAATTTTCATTCTTGCTAGAGACTTTGTGATGTTGAGCTTGTGTAGCTCAGTCAGTATAGTGGACAGGGTTTGATCTGGCATTTTTTCTCTAGCCTCTGCATCCATACCAGATCTGGGTACACAAAATTTCTTTTCCAATAGGTATCAGGGTTCTTTCCCAGGGGTAAAGCTGTGCCCATGCGTGACGTTGACCACTCACCTCTATAAGTCATGTCTGAAGAACACATATTTCAAGCACGAGTTGTCAGGAAGTCGAGGATAAATAATACTCCACATATATTTTCTTATTCAATAACAGCTACTTATTTACAATTACACTTGCTATGAAACAATGCATTTTATAAAGGAATTCACAAACATCATACTTCTCTTCATTGCGCTGTATCACGTGCCTTGCGAGTGTCATATGTACCAAGCATTTTTCAATATTCTTAACGACTTCCAAAATTCAAATGCATGAGAGACTATGAACATCAGATCTAACTGGCCCATGCATGCTTCTCTTTCAACTTCAAACAACTACCATGACCGACACAGATACCTTACACTAACGGAGACTGTTGATAATGGCGTATGTATATTCATTAGTAGTTGACTGCCCACCCAAGTCCTTTGTTCTAACCTGTTAACAAAAAAATATATAGGCTCACATTCAGCCTGTATATGTAGAACACATTGTAATATTTTATTTGCAACATACTTCTTCTTCTTCTTTATTACGCCGTCTCCTTTACAGGAGGTTGGCGACATATTATGAACAGGATCCTTCCACCCTTTTCTCGGACAGGGACCTGTTCATATACGTTCTTGGCAGATGATCCAGAAGTGGTTTGCCATTGCCTTCTTCTGTGTAATTGTTGGGATGCCACGGAGAAACCGGGGAAGCCCCGGAGGAAAACTCCGTGTTGCCTAGACCATGGCCTTGCCTAACACAAGTTATAAATTCGGGCACCGCTGGGAATCGAACCCGGGACCCCAGGATTACAAGGCCGGCGTTCTAACCGCTAGATCACTGTGGCAGTAACATACTTGTTACACATACTAAATAAAAAACACTATCAGTTCATGCTCTTTTCACTCTGAGAATCTTATAGAAAATACAGTATCATACATTTTGGTAAAAATCAACTGTGGCACTATTTGGTTAAACCAATGACCTACACAAAGACTCCCCGTGATGCAAACTGCAACCAGACTTCATTCACTATACATAAGTTCATCAAATAAAAAAACTCAACTACTTACATTCAGAGACACATTAACACTTACGAACGCAAAATAAAGTAAACATATTCCTTAATTAATCTGAATTAAAGTGAATTAAGATAAATTAAATCATGAAT